ACTTTTCAGCAATAATAAAATAAAACACAAATGTTATGTTTATCTAAAGTAATTTTTGCTTATTAGTGTGGTTGAATTGGATCATCGAAGGTCAGCAGCAAAGACATTGATTAAAAAATGGGATTAAATACATAAAGGATATTTGTGTTATTTAACATATTTAATTATTGCTGGTTTGCACCATATTCTGAGTTTGCATTTCAATGTTTTTATTCATTTTGAGAAAAACTGAATGTGTTTTTGTGTAAGTCAGATGAGTAAATGCATGTTGACATTTAGTCTAGAACTACAGTAGGCAGTAGCAAGTTCCTGTGCTTGCTTGCAGCAGCAGCAATAATCTACAACTACAGCAATAACCAACAGCAGCAGCAATTCGGTAGCAGCAGCAGCGTAGCAGATCTATTCCGCCAAGACCAAATACATTAACATTGTCATATCCATCACCATGCTAAAATCTTCAGAGAGTTGTCATGATTGAACTTGTGGTACCCCCAACACTGTTAAAGGTGCAGTATGTAATATAGTCAGCTGGCAGTTGAAATGGATACTGCAGACCAAATTCAAAACTTTGTTTCTTTCGCCCCTTCCTCCACAGACTCGACGTTCATGCAGGTTGCCAGATTGAGGACACGCAACAGGAACAAGTACAACTGACAATGGAAAGCGATGAGCCTTACACTGTAAGTTGATTAGTTGATTTATTTGCATTTTAATATGCCTCTGGTCACAGAGTTTTTTTTTTTTTTAGATGGATGGCAAGGTTGCTCATTCGTTTGCTCACTGTAATATGCCGTGTTTTCTGCCAACCGGCAACCTGGGCTGTTAAAATACTATTGGTTAAACTGGCAGTAGGCGGAGTCACACAGACCAAAACAAAAACATTCCGACATGGAACACACATTTCAAAGTAGAATAACTGGCTGTAGTATTGTTTTTATGTGAACTTAGCATGTTTCCTAAATATCTGCAAACAAATTATGGTATTTTTACGCTTTAGTACAGTCAAAAAACTACATACAACACCTTTTAAAATATAATTTTCAGAGTAATTCTCATAAAGGTCATGGAACAGATTGGAGTTGTGCTAGCATTCTTAACCAACCACGACAGAGATATGTGACAAGCGACAGAAGATTCTATTTTTGCAATGATTTTTATTTCTGTACAATATTGCAGTTGTTTAATTTGAGTTCCAAATATAATTTTAGCATGATTTTAATAGAAATAATGAAAGAGATAATGGATAATTTACATTAAATCTTTAAAACAAGAAAGTTAATAGAAACAACAAGAACGTTCAAAATGTGAACTCTTGTTATCAAACAAGTGTATTTCATAACAAAGATTGTGTCACTTAGTATGTTTTGAATCACATTAAAATTGTGTAATTTTTATTAATTTTATTATGCATATTTCGTTGCGAGTGCGAGACAGCAGGGTGCTTGCAGATGTATTTATGGATGGATATGCAGATGGATTTATTTGGTAAGTAGTCAGGTAAAAAAGCAGAATGATGTGCAGTCAGTAAGATTTTTTATTTTACTTTTATTCACCAAGGATGCATTAAATTGATCAAAAGTTACATAAAGACATTTAACATCTAATACATTTCTAATAAATGCTGTTTTTTAAGCTTCTATTCATGAAGGAATCCTAAAAAAAAGTTTCAACACTGGTAATAATCAGAAATGTTTTCAGAGCAGCAAATCAGCATATCAGAATGATTTCTGAAGGATAATGTGACACTGAAGACTGGAGTAATGATGCTGAAAATGCAGCTTTGATCACAGGAATAAATTACATTGTTTTAAAAAATGTATTCAATTAGAAAACACTTATTTTAAATTGTAATAATATTTTACAATTTTATGCTTTTACTATATTTTTGATCAAATAAATGCAGCCTTGGTGAAAATAAGACACTTTTGAACAGAAGTGTATATATATATATATATATGTGTATATATTTATACGGCTTTCTTCCATCATTCCTCTCTATCGGCTGAACGGAGACACACACACACACACACACACACACACACACACGCTGGAAAACAGAGCACAGGATGGCATCTCACAGTGTGAGACGCTACCAAACACACTAAGTCACACTGACAGGATGTGTCTTTACAGCACACACTGTAGCTCTCAAAAGGTTATGCAAGATAATACGCCTCTCTCACACACACACAATGCATCTTATTCCATGGTCTGTTGGAATTCTTGATTCTGATTGTCTGGCAGGTATGCATTAAAACCGTTTAAAGGTCCCATATTGTCAAAACTGAAATTTCCTGGCTTTTTTCATGATAACTGAGGTCTAGGTGCTATGTAACTAAGGACATCAAAACCTAAAATAAAACTCCAGAAAGGTGTACAATATGGGACCTTTAATGCACAGGTAGTTCCAAGTCAGTTTAATCACTGTTCTATATGAATGCGCCACTGCTTTAAATTGACACACAAACGCACACACACATCACTAGGACAGAGAGAGAGAGAGATCGGAGATCTCACTGCGCACACAGAAACATTCAGGAGTACGCTGACCCGCGACTTTTATTAATAAAATTGCTTAGATACTGGATCACTGCATTATATTCCTCAGCAACGAGGAGAAAATCTCTGTTTAAGTAACTAAACTCACAACTTCATTGTTTGTAGAGAGAGACGCACAGACGCAGGTAATTCACACACACAACTGTCATCTTTCTCTCTCTCGATCAAACGATCGATAATTTATTCAAATAAATGCAATCTAACTGCACTATTTCATCTCTGTGTCTGATTTGAAGTGGCAGAATGCTAGAGCTAACGAGCCGTAACTGACGAAAATAATGTCATTTTTACCCATTCGGTCAAATATAATATATTCGCTTCGCGTCGGGTAGTTCTTTGCCTCCACGTCGTGCATTTAAAATCCTTTAATGCACGGCAAACCGTTGATTATACCTTACTTATACAATCTAACAGCCACTCTGAAACATTACCTGATTACTATTTTTGTCTGATTCATTCATTTTGAGTTCAGTTTCCGCCACTGTGTCCAGTTTTATTACTTAATTTGTGCTTTGTTTAATGTGTGGTCATACAATCACATGTACAGCAAAATAAAACATTAATAAATAAAAAAGTCCACTAAACCAGTTAATGTGTATATCTAAGGTATCTATATTTGATTCCCGTAGCTTAGCAACAGTATTTCATAAACCAGATGAGCAGGAAGTCTGACTAGCAGACATCAAGGAGTGACTAAGCTGCCACATATCACTTCCCATGTTCCTCTGTTCAAGCAGAGCAGTGGAGGATTCTGGACTCACTCACCAGAGCAAGATTGAGTGGGAGTAAAAATGTCAAGGTGGTCATATGATAATTATTTTAAGTAAGTAACTTTTCTTCCCCCTGAGGTCCACTAATAAGGTTAATGAAGGTTTTTGTCACAATTTTTTTCCCATTTCCACCCTCTCTGAGCCTTAGATTTAAAGTCACAATAAAACATAAGTAGCAACAGATTTTTCATCTAATTGTGTTGTCCAACCAACAGCGTGAGTTTGGGGCGACCCAATCATTTTGTCCAAAAAATGGCTTAAGTTTGGGGCGACCCAATCATTTTGTCCCAAAAATGGTGTGAGTTTGAGGCAACAATATCAGTTGTCCAACCAACAGCGTGAGTTTGGGGCAACCCTATCACTTTGTCCAACCAATGGCTTGAGTTTGGGGCGACCCAATAATTTTGTCCAACCAATAGCTTAAGTTTGGGGCGACCCAATCATTTTGTCCAAAATATGGTGAGTTTGAGGCAACAATATCAGTTGTTCAACCAACAGCGTGAGTTTTGGGCAACCCTATCACTTTGTCCAACCAATGGCTTGAGTTTGGGGCGACCCAATCATTTTGTCCAAAACATGATGTGAGTTTGAGGAAACAATATCAGTTGTCCAACCAACAGTGTGAGTTTGGGGCGACCCCTGTCACTTTGTCGAACCAATGGCTTGAGTGTGGGGTGACCCAATCATTTTGTCCAAAACATGATGTGAGTTTGAGGAAACAATATCAGTTGTCCAACCAACAGTGTGAGTTTGGGGCGACCCCTATCACTTTGTCGAACCAATGGCTTGAGTTTGGGGCGACCCAATCATTTTGTCCAAAAAATGGTGTGAGTTTGAGGCAACAATATCATTTGTCCAACCAACAGCCTGAGTGTGGGGCAACCCTATCACTTTGTCCAACCAATGGCTTGAGTTTGGGGAAACACTATCAGTTTGTCTAACCAATGGTATGAGTTTTGGGCTGACCCAATCACTTTGTCCAACCAATGGCTTAAGTTTGGGGAAACACTATCATTTTGTCTAACCAATGGTATGAGTTTTGGGGTGACCCAATCACTTTGTCCAACCAATGGCTTGAGTTTGGGGCAACCCTATCACTTTGTCCAACCAATGGCATGAGTTTGGGGAAACACTATCAGTTTGTCTAACCAATGGTATGAGTTTTGGGGTGACCTAATCAGTTTGTCCAACCAATGGCTTGAGTTTGGGGAAACACTATCAGTTTGTCTAACCAATGGTATGAGTTTTGGGGTGACCTAATCAGTTTGTCCAACCAATGGCTTGAGTTTGGGGAAACACTATCAGTTTGTCTAACCAATGGTATGAGTTTTGGGGTGACCCAATCACTTTGTCCAACCAATGGCTTAAGTTTGGGGCGACCCAATCATTTTGTTCAACAAATGGTATGAGTTTGAGGCAACACTATCACTTTGTCTAAACAATGGTGTGAGTTTGGGGTGACAAGAGTGTTTCAGGAAACCATTTTATTGGTTTCTTTACTATTGTTCTTCATTAATTTTCGTTAACAACAGGAGTAAAGAATGTTAAACTCCAACATCTCTTTAGCATAAAAGCGGTCTTCAGGAAGATAAACTTCTAAGTTAAAATATTAATACCACTGAAGAATGTTTGATGAATCCTTTGATGAAGCAAAAACATTCGCATACAAACCTCATGCCTTCAGTAGATTTGTTCCGGTAGTTGCAGTAGAGCTGTGGAGTTCCCAGCATGGCCTCTGTGAATACGGCCAGGAAACCCAGGCTCTCTACGAACAGAACTGAGTCCAGTAGCAGATACGTCACATAGGCGGCCAGCACCATGAATGCCAGCACACACTGCAGGTAATCCACAAAACGACTCCAAGACCAGAAGTAGTTCCAGTCAAAGTCTAGAATTCAGAAAGAGAGAGAGTACACATTAAAAATAATATGTGCATGAAGTACTACAACTCATACTGGTTGAAAGGTGTCAACTTGACAACCAGGGGGATTTTTGTATACCAATGATAGTAGAGGGTTCATGGAAATTTCCGAAAGACTTTTAGGAGAACATTTTGAGCTCTGAAAGGCAGTATTCTCAAAATAGACCATTTTTTTATTTTAAAACTTTAGATATTTAGATATTACCAATGAATTTAATCATTTTAACCACCTGTCTTTATCAAGTTCTTCCTTTCAACAATACATTTCCTAGAACATTGAAACACTGGTCACATATACAGTATGCATGAATTATGCTTAGGATTGTGTTAGTAGTGATGAAGGGTTGAATCAAGTTCAGACCACAGACCCTCTAAGACAATGGTTTGCAGCCATGTTCTGACAGGATCACAGTCAGCAGGGGAAAACAATGCTAAATTCAAACAAACAAATAAATGAAAATAGCCAAATAAACAAACAAACAATTCAATAATTACACCATTCAAAATTTGGGGTTGGTAAGAATTTTGAATGGTCTCTTCTGCTCACCAAGACTGCATTTATATGATCAAAAATACAGTAAAACAGTAATATTGTAAAATATTATTACTATTTTAAATAATACAGTAATATATTTTAAAAGCAATTTATTTCTGTGATGCAAATCTGAATTTTCAGCATCATTCCTCCAGTTTTCGGTGTCACATGATCCTTCAGAAATCAGTATAATATGCTGATTTGCTGCTCAAGAAACATTTCTTATTTATTATAATTTTTAAAAGCAGTTACATTTACATTTACATTTAGTCATTTAGCAGACACTTTTATCCAAAGCGACTTACAATTGGGGGATACATAAAGCGATTCTTCTTAAAGAGGCAAACAGACACAGGAAGTGGTTGTAATACCAAGTTATTAGACATTGTTCAAATAAGTACAAGCTAGAAAGAGAAGGAATAAATAAACAGAGATAATTTTATTATTATTTTTTTTTATGATGAAGTCAAGTAGCTTCGAAAGAGATGGGTTTTCAGCTGTCGCTTGAAAATTGTCAGGGATTCAGCATTCCGGATAGGGGTGGGTAGAAATAGGCAGAAAACGAAATATTCCTTCCTAGCAGCAAGTAATAATTCCAACAGCAGATCTATAAACAAGTATTACGCAGGACACTCACGTGCAGCCGTCTGTCTCTTCTGTTGACTAATCGCTTGACCCAAGTTATGACAGTGACCAAGCAGTTTAAATACTCTACGGTCGCTGTGGCCGCCTTCTAATTAGCACAGCCAATAGTCTATAGCAGGCCAATTCCTCAAATCGAAACTACAGTTCGCACTTAAATGCAGGAAGGGAGCAATTAAATTACACGCGCTCCTTCTTAGCCGAGGTTCAATTATTATAATTACCAGAAAGTGCAATCAAAAATACAAACGCAAACAAAAATATAACGTAGAAATAGGCAGAAAACGAAATATTCCTTCCTAGCAGCAAGTAATAATTCCAACAGCAGATCTATAAACAAGTATTACGCAGGACACTCACGTGCAGTCGTCTGTCTCTTCTGTTGACTAATCGCTTGACCAGTTGTGCTTCTTCATATTTTTGTGGAAATTGAACAATTAACAAAACCACACAAGCTAAGAGACATGTACCTTGCACATGGTTTTTGTGCAGTGAGTTATTGACAATTTGTCAAAATAAAATTTTGCACAATCTGCAATTTAGGTACTGTGTTGGGCGACCACACATCTAGAGTGAAATCTGGGTCCTAAAGTACAACCAATTCTAAGACCGTAAGACCCCCTCAAAAAATGCTTTTTTATGATCAAGGCAATCAGCAGGGATGAGGCTGACTGGATTCTGACCTGAAATAATCCACTTTCTCCAATTATTTAGGCCTCGTCGATGGAGGCTGAACTCAGATAACTCATAAGCCTGTAAGTCAGCTCTCCGCCCATCCGTCAGTGGATGAGAAGAGCATATCTAATCAAATCACACTGGGAGCTTCAACGACGGTTACTCTCATAAAGCGGCACTGGAAATGTCGAAGCAACAAAGTACAAGCAGAGGCCAAAACCGAAGCATGAGGACCACAGTGACATCAAGAGTGGCATGAAAATGTCAGGGCATGTGGGACAAAGCTGAAAGAGAAGAGAATGACACAAAAGAAGAGTCCAAAGCACTGCTATGACAGGTCTAGATGGACTGAAGCAGGGGAAAACACACATATTCAGTGAATAAATGTAGAGCTTTTATTCAAACACGATCCCAGCAATTCATTGCTTGGTGTGCCTCTCTCTTTGGATGCCAGCTGTGCTCACAAAACCCAATGAAGAGTGGGCAGTAGAGCTTAGATACAAGTGTGTTAGGTAATGTGTTTGTTTGGGTAGAACGTTTTACATCCAAAACTCTGCCTCAGTATCTGCAATCTTTGTTTGCTCCATTACTTGCGGTGTTTGCTAAAGTCCTTTTCGAACAAAGTTTAAACAAACCTCTAACCCTAGAGTTGCAATGTATGAAGCACAGCCCACACAGCGGACGCTGCCAAAACAAGCTGCTTCTTACTGATCAACACAACAAATTCACATGCCCAAATTCATTAAACTAGAAGCCGATGGGAAATCCGGATGGGGAAATGGGGAAAAGTCCATTGAGAAGACAGTATTTTGCCCCGCAGAATTTTGTCATGCAAATGCGACTGCACCATAAACTATGGAAGCCCGTTTCCGCCACTGAATAAAAAATAAAAGAGGTAATTGCGACTTTTTATCTCACAATTCTGACTTTTTTTCTCAGAATTGCGTGATAGAAACTCGCAATTCTGACTTTTTTTCATCGTGGTATAAACTCGCAATTGCGAGTTAAAAAGTCATAATTGTGAGATATAAACCTGCAATTCTGAGAAATAAAGTCACAATTCTGAGAAATAAAGTCAGAACTGCGAGATATAAACTCACAATTCTGACTTTTTTTCTCGCAATTGCGAGTTTATATCTCGCAATTATGACTTTTTTTCTCGTAATTCTGTGAGATATAAACTCACAATTGCGAGTTATAAAGTCAGAATTGTGAGATATAAACTCGCAATTCTGAGAACATATCAGTGTTTTTTCCACCCTCAAAATTGGACTTTAACTCGCAATTGCGAGTTTATATCTCACAGAATTACGAGAAAAAAAGTCAGAATTGCGAGATATAA